TTTTTGTTTGACTACAGATTTAATTAGGTGATATTCTAAAAAGCTATTCTTATCTATTCCTAATTGGGAATCCATTCCAAATTGGGAGACTATCCGATTAAATGGGATGAAGTCCAATCCTTCATATATATATTCCAGGTATGGGATCCCTTTATTTTTCCAGTCCGGAAGGTTCATCATTTGGTTATTTTACAAAATATCAGGATTATTCCAGATAGGTGTGCATCTGCATGGTATTAGTGAAGACGCTGTCATTTTTAGATACTCCCACCATGCTGTCAGAGAGGTGCTGATACTAATACTTTTGAAGCTTTCATGTTTTCTTATGCTTGAGCTAATAAATGGTTAGTCTGAAAGCTCTATCGTATTGCAAAGTGTCTGTTCTATATCTAACCAGACTCATCTCATGGGCTATCTTGCAACCATCTTGGTATATATTTCAGCCTGTTGGCTAAGAAATAATAATAAAAGTTGGGTAAATCCAGTCCTCCTCTGTCTTTGGTCTTCTGAAGCGTTTTTAAGCCAATTCGTGGAGGTTTATCCTGCCAAAGGAATTTAGTAATTGAGGAGTCCAGAGATTTAAACCAGTCAGCTGGTGGTTTGTTTGGGATCATCAAAAATAAGTAATTTATTCTGGGTAAGACCATCATTTTAATTGTAGCAACTCTTCCCCATGAGTGATATTGGTAAGGATTTCCATCTTGCAAGATCATCTTCCACTTTCTTTAAAAGTGGGATGTAGTTTAGTTTGGTTAGATCTGCTAACTTGGGAGAGACATTAATTCCCAGGTATGTGATATTCCCTGACTCCAATCGTGTATTAAATAAACTGACTAAAGAGAAATTAATTGGTAGAACTGTGGATTTTAACCAGTTTATAGAGTAATCTGAAACTCTTGAAAAAGTGTTTATCAGTTCTATTGAATGGGAGAGAGAGGATTGAGAATTCTGGAGAAAGAGTAAAACATCAACTGCATTAAGACTGATCTTATGTTCTATTTCCTTATACTCTATCCCTTTAATATCTATTGTTTGCCTAATTGCTGCCGCTAGTGGTTTGATAACGATAGCAAACAGTGAGGGGGAGAGTGGGCATCCCTGCCTGGTCCCCCTCTGAAGACAGAAGCTAGCTGATATTTGGTCGTTCGTCCTGACATGTGCAGTTGGCGAACTGTATAATTTTTGTAGCCAGTTTATGAAGAAGTTCCCAAAACTATATTTATGTAAAGTTGCAAATAATAACTTCCAGTTAACTCTACCAAAAGCCTTTTCTGCATCTAGAGATAATATACTAGTTTCAATGTTTCTACTGTAAGAGAAGTCTATCACATTAAGTAATCTACGCGAGTTTGTGGACTGTCTACCCTTGATGAAACCAGTTTGGTCAGGTTGTATTATGAAGGGGGTTACCTTCTCTAATCTTTTTGCCAGGGCTTTACAAATTATTTTGAGATCAACATTAATAAGAGAAATTGGGCGATAGCTGGTAGGAAATGCTGGGTCTTTGCCTGTTTTTAACAAGAGACTAATATTGGCTGAATTCATGTTTGGCTGTAATCTGCAGCTCTCTTCGATTTCCCTCATCATTCTGAAAAATATTGGAGCCAGAATGATCCAGAATTATTTGTAGAACTCTGCTGGAAACCCGTCTGGACCTGGAGCCTTCCTATTAGGCATGGATTTAAGGGCTTCCTGGAGCTCAGCTGATGTTAGTGGCGAGTCCAGGACTGTAACTTGGCTGTCTGATAATTTAGGAAGTGTTATCCTGTCAAGGAACTCATTGATCTCATTATCTGATGGGTTTATCTGTGGTGAGTACAAAGTTTGGAAAATGTCTCTGAAAGTGTTGTTTATTCTTTCAGGGTCATTAACTATATTCCCGGTTGGGTCTTTAACAGCAGATATGGTAGTTTTCTCTTTATTAATTTTTAACTGGCTGAGTAAAAAATTACCTAATTTTTTGCTATGTTCAAAGTTTTCTATTCGTAGTCTTTGTGCTAAAAATTGTGTCTTTTTGTCAATAATTCCAAGAAGTTCTAATTTAGCTTTACGTAATTGGCTCAGTAACTCTTCTTCTGTGGATGCCTCTAAAGACTTAATGATTTCTTCTAACTCCTGAATACGTTTGTATTCTGTTTTTTTCTTATGTGATGAGAAAGATATTATTTTACCTCTGTAACTGTCTTTCCTGCCTCCCAGAGAACAGATGCTGATGTTCCAGGCAGGTCATTACATATATTCTAAATATAAAGCCCACTCCTTTTTAAAAACTTCAACAAAACCTTCGTCTTTCTGCAGTGATGTATTAAACCTCCAGTCTTTGTTTGGTGGGCCTCCAGTTTTTGTTTGGTGGGATTGTCTTCTTGTTTACCAGAGTTAAAGAAACTGAAGCGTGGTCACTTACAACTATGGGGTGTATCTCAGTGTCTGAAATGTCAGCCAACAATGAACTACTGACTAGAAAATAATCCGAACATGAATGAGAGTGATGGACGTGTGAGAAAAAAGTATACTCTACGGTTAGGATGAAGAGATCACCATGCATCACAAAGCCCATAATCACTCATGTACTGTTTAACTATGTTAGTGGATTGCCAATTGCGCTGAGTCCCAGCTGTACTAAGCCTGTCTGTTAAAGTGTTGATCCAGAAATTTAAATCACCTCCAAGTATAAGTGGACAGTCCAACTGTTCGGAGAGTACAGAGAAAAAATTACAAAAGAATGAAGGGTCATCAATATTTGGACAGTATATGCTGACGATACATAAGCTTTTGGCTCTGTATAGATATTTTTAACATTATAAATCTACCCTCTGGATCTGAAATTGTGTCCAATACTGTGAAATTGATGTTTTTGAGTATTAAAATAGCTACACCTCTTTGCCTAGAGTTATAGCAGGCAGAGAACATGCTGGGAAACTCATGTGTTTTAAGTTCATCTGCAGATGTGGCAGATCTGAGTCTCTTGTAATAATATTATGTCTGCTTGCACTCTTTTTAACTGATTAAAAAATTCTAATCTCTTCTCTCTGGAGCCAGTTCCATGTACGTTCCATGAGACAAACCTTAGTGCACCCATAGATGTGTGTGTGAGTAGCTATAATATGACGCCTTCATGTGTATGAGATAAAATAAGTATTTAAACACATACATTAATCTTATAGTAAATAATAGAGAGTAAATAATGAGTATTATTATAATCATTATTATTATTTGCAACATTAATAAAAAATATTAGCAAAAAATATGTTTTTACAATATTAATATAAAGATATTAATGCTGGTAATGATAAAGCATAAATAAATAATAATAAATATAATAATAATAATAATAATAATAATAATGATAATAATAATAATAAAAGTAATAATAATAACAATAACAAGACAAGCCCAACAGTGTTTTGATTGTGCAATGAAACGTCTTAGGCAACTTATCTGTGTGACTGTGCGTATGGAGTCTATGTGTGTGTGTGTGTGTGTGTGTGTGTGTGTGTGTGTGTGTGTGCGCGTGCGCACGTTGTGTGCTGCAGTGTGGAAAGAGAAAAAAAAGAAGCTAATTGTGCCATGCAGATGTAAAGATCCAGATGCAGATAAAAAAGGGAAAGAAAGGAATTATAAAGGTTAAGAAAAGGAAAAAAGAAGAAAGAAAAGAAAAAGTTTTGTGGGTGTGAGGTGGTGAGGGAACAGGTGAACATTTCTAAACGGATCTAGCAACTATAAATCCTGACATGTTCAAACCCAGTGAGTGCTGTTAATAATAATAAAGTTGTACTTGATGTTGTCTAATAAAGCCAGTCTATTTTTCCTCGTTCTTTGTAGATCTTACCGTCAACAAACAGTTTATCTACCGAGATCACAGCCCGCTTCCCATCCTGGATGAACTTCTTACGCAGCGGGAAGAGAATTCGGCGGCGATCCAGAATTTCTTTAGGAAACTGATCGTTAATGCTTTCCGTTTCCTCGGGTATCTTCATGTGGGTGTGGAGAAAGTTTTTTATTGATTGTTCGCAATCTTCCACTTCTCCTCCGGCCTTCTCTGGAAGGCCTGCAAACACCAGGTTGTCTCTCATGCTGCGTGATTAGAGATCCAGACCCGTCTCCTTTAGAACTTAGTTGTCCTGGGAGATCCGATCTAATCCTGCAGTCAAGGAAGAAACCGATTCCCGCAGAGACGTGTTCTCGGCCGCGAGCCGCTCCACCTGCTCCTCGTTAAACTCCAAAGATGTTCGGGGGTCCTGGAACTCCTTGTGAAGCACCTCTAGCAGATGCAGTCGCCCCTCAAATCCCAGAAGCCGTTTATCTATGGACTGTAGTAAATCTATGACATCCTTACGGGGAGATGAGGCCTCAGGTGAGTCCTGGGGACGGCTCCTCTTGGTCCCAGGTGTTTCCGTCTCAGCTGCTGCTGCCTTCTTCGGTCCCATGACAAAAAACTCAAAAACCTCTTCAGTATATGTTTGGAAACTTTCTAAATTTTCTCCACTTATCTCCAGATTGAGTGTGTTATATATATCAGCTTTATTTATTTTATTTTATTTTATTTTTGCATTGTCAGTGAGTAAAATAGACAAAAATGCATCTTAATTGTTTGTGGAAGTTGATTAACTAGCTACCATCTGCTTCAAGCGCTGCCGTGTGTCCGGTGATCGGCCGTCAGTGCATGCTCAGTCCTTGAATAACTCAGGAATGAATAAAGCTAAATTAATACCAAGCACACCATTGATTTTATTGTGAAATTCTCAATGAGTTTGATATGTCACATGACCCTCTTCCTATTGAAGAGACAAAAGTTGAGTCCATGATTGCCAACTTCAAAATGGCCACCAGGATCACCACCCATCTTGAAAAGTTTGCCCCCTCACATATACTAATGTGCCACAAACAGGACATTAATAGCACCAACCACTCCCTTTTTAATAAGGTGTATCCATATAAACGGCCCACTCTGTAGTTCCAAATTCTTATAGGATAGAAATCATGACGGTGCAAAAGTGGGTGTTGTGTGGGTCTTAAAAGAAGTGTGCAATGGCTAGAAAGGTGCAGAACCACCTACGCTTGCTTGCTGTGAGTGTTCATTCATACTGATAATAATGTCGTGTTTAATGGAAAATGATCTTAAATTAACTGTCTGTATAGTCTTTGTGTGATAAACAGTTTTTGATTTCAGGTCATCATGGAGACAGGAGTAACAGTCAACAGGACTGACGCTGTGGCTGCCTTACATCCCTGCTATGAGATAAATAATTTCAGTTACAAACTAACCACAACACCTTCTGCTGTATGTGTAATGTTGTATGGTTTCCTTACACTTTTGTCTCTTGTCACAGTGTGCGGGAATCTCCTTGTAATAATCTCTGTGTTTTACTTCAAACAGCTCCACACCCCTACTAACTCCCTCATTCTGTCTCTGGCTGTGGCTGACCTGCTTGTAGGGATTCTAGTGTTTCCTTTCAGCATGGCATTCTCTCTCAGCTCATGTATGCATCATGAAGGGTTGTTTTGTAAAGTCAGAGGCAGCTTTGATATATTACTCAGCACATGCTCTATCCTGCATCTGTGTTGTATTTCTATTGACAGATATTATGCCGTGTGTCAGCCACTAACATATACATTTAAAATCAACCGCCGTGTTGTATTCATCATGACTTCTTTTAGCTGGGGGGTTTCTGCTCTTGTTGGAGTTGGAGGGACATTTCCTAAACTAAGCAGTGAACAATGTGAGGAAACATGTTTTATTGATGAACTCGTGGCAAACATAGTTGGACCAATATTGTCGTTTTACCTCCCAGTCGTCATAATGCTTTGTATCTACCTGAAGATTTTCCTAGTTGCACAGAAACAGGCACAAATCATCCAAACTAGGATGAAGTGTGGAGTAACTGCCAGCAAGATGGAAAGAAAGGCAACAAAAACTCTGGCTACAGTTCTGGGAGTTTTTCTCTTTTTTTGGACCCCTTTCTTTCTTTGCATTACTTTTCTTTCTTTTATCAAAAGTTCAGTTTCGGTGCCTGTGATCGAAACACTTAACTGGCTAACGCTGTCAAATTCCATGCTGAATCCATTTATCTATGCTTTCTTTTACAGCTGGTTTAGATCAGCTTTTAAAATGATTGTTTCTGGAAAATTCTTAAGAGGTGATTTTGCAAACTTTAAACTGCATTGACTTGTTGTTTGAATCAGTTTTCAAGGTGAAGGTTTTTTCCCCCAAAGTTAATTGTTTTTACTAATAACCGCTGCTCATCTGTATTGTCCTGGTTTAGATTATTGAAACTCTGTGTCCACTTCACAGAACAACCTCAATTTAGGACTGGACACATATAGAAATGCAGGAAAGCCGCCATGTTGTGCCCATTAACAGCCTCTCCCATAATCACAGAAGCAAAAGTGGTTCGGTTCCTGGCTGTGCACAGAACTTTACATGTACAACACAAATTCATGAATACCTCTACATATCTGGATACAAAACAAGAAGATGAAAACCACTATGCCTTTCAAAAATCTAAAAAAAAAAAACAATCACAGAAGCAAATGGAAGTTCACTGCAGTTTGGTTAAAGGAAACCAAACCACAGAAGAAAAAATATTGGAGAGGAGCACACATTTTCAGACAGACCAGCGGTTTAAAACTCTTAGCCAGATATGGAACTAAACAAACAGAATGCATTTTTGTGTAATTATAATTTAACAGAATTAGTAATGTCACAAGTTACTGCATTCATTTAAACACACCTAATTACAGCCCTGCCCCTGGCATACGTAGGGATACACTCGCAGTGATTACAGTAAGTATTTACTGCTACAAGTCTTCCTCTGTCATGCCCTGTCTCACACAAACAACACATCCTCATACTGCTCCGGCTCAGTGTATAGACCTACGATTAAATGCTTTCCACTCTGCATCGTGTTATCAGATTAGCAATGGTGATAGCTAGGGATGAGCTGAAACGAGTATCCGGTACGGATAAAGCATTTTTGACGAGTACGAGCATGAAACGATTAAAACTCGTAACTATCTGTAATCGTGCTGAAGGAAAATCCTCATTGGGTAACTGACTGTCTTCATGCTCTGTGATTGGCCAGTCAAATAGAGCGCCCGCCCCTCCCTACACGCAAAACTCTGCAGGGGGAGCTCACAGCTCAGTCCGCGTCCGGTCCATCCACGCACACACACAGACAGTAACGGATCTCTCTGTGCACGTTTCTTCAGTATTCCCTATGTTTTCTTCAGTTTGCTTCTTTTTAAAGTTACTTTTTTCGTAACGTACGTGGTGCATTTGACAAGACAGAGCTGAAAACGGCTCATGCTGCGTCAGCCACTGCCTCCTCTCTGGTCGTTTTTTCCCCCTCTCTCTCTCTCCTCTTCTTCAGGATCCACTCCCTCTTTCTGATTCACGCTCTCTTTCTTTACATTTTTTAGCCACAGTCGTCTATTTTTTGCTCATTTTAAATATATTTTAATCATTTTCTAAATTCTTTTTTCTATTTTACATGTTTTGTTTTTGTGAAGCGCCCCGTGATTTTTATCTTGAGAGGCGCTATAGAAAAGATCTTTTCTTCTCTCTCTCTCTTAATTCATGCACTTAAATATTAATGTTCTGATTTTATTGAAAAACTTGTTCTGTAATAGTTCCTTTACTATTGTGATCAAAAACATTTAATCTCAACTCTGAGGCTGCTCTGTAAATAATTTTCAAATAAACAATACACATAGCAACTTCTGATCAGACTTGAAATAAGTCTTGATGTAAACCACACCCACTTCAGGTTAAACTACACCCACTTCCGGGTTAGGCCACGCCCACTCCGAGTAACAGATAATTTACAGTATACAGATAATTTAGATTGTTATACAGATACAGATAGTGGTGTACTCGCCAGTGATAGCCCTATATAGTCTAACATACCAGCAATAATATAAGCATTTTATGTTTATATTGGCCTCACTCAAGACAAATTCTTTATAGCAATTTCTGTCAGATTTCCCTTGAATGCAATGATCATTTCATTCAAGGAAAGTTCCTTGTGTGATCCATAGCCGGCTGACGTAGCCTACATTGAATAATCACATTGCTCATTGGACAGACTGTAATATCTACCATGTTTTGTTATTTTCATTTTTCTTTACATTTCTGCTAACTCTGGGGGTTAAATCTACCTACATTTAATTTTTAATTTTGTTTTCTTGTTTTTTATTTTCCTATTTAGCTGTCTTGTTTGTCTCTGCTCTTCCTGTCTCTCCTCTCAATCCTTAAGAAAAGCTGCTGCCTGACTTCCTAATTTTTTACCTCCCGAGTTACTTTTTAACTAAGCAGATCAAATGGATCTACTGACCGCAAAAATAGCGGAGTATGCACTATGCTGCCCAGCCACCCCAGTGACGCGGAGTCACCGGATCATGGGTGATGAGCGCTGCAACGGCAAAGCGCGTCAGGCACAAATAAAAGACAGAAATTAGGACAGAATATGAATTATCCTGGTTTAAGTATGTACTTTTTGGGTGTCGCCACTTTGGGAATGGTACTGTGGCCGTGCGCAGGACACAGCTGCCTGGAGCCTGTCAATAATCTGAGCACTGCCGCTCTCTGTCTCAAGTCCCGCTATGCCGAGAGTCCATATAAATTATGTGTTATACTGTAGGCAGAAACAGGATCTTTTTCAGGCTCCCTCTGGGTGTGTAAGTTCAGGGCTTCAGTGGAGCTCGACAACATTACAGGAGAACTGGGTTTCCCTTAGCTCTCCTGTAATTTGAACCCTGTATCTGAGTCCAGATCGGGAAGTAATGCCCGATCGAGTCTGAAACCACATGATCATCCCTAGTTTTTTTCATTCATTCTACACTGACTACGTGACCCTCCTCAACCCCCGTAGTGGGGCCCAGGGTGGGCTGCTTGTTTACTAATTTTCTTGGTAAGAAACAGCTAAGAGCAGGGGTGCCTCCAGAAAAATTTGATAGGGGTGGCCAGATGAGTCCAAAGAAATGTTTGGGCTAGTACACCAAATTGGTCCTTGTGGTAACTCCGGGAGAGTTTAACCTGTGGTGATGCATTGCATTGCTCCTTTATTTGTTTTTATTTAAAATATTGGAAAAGTGACAGACACACTGGCAGTGGCAAACATCTTATTTTTTAGCCTCCACCTTCAAATCGGACCTTTTTTTTTTAAATATCCGCCACAGATCTCTCTGAAGAACTCACAGCATTGATGGCTTCAGCAACGCTGTGCCACTCTGTGGATTTTCTCTTATTTGTTTTGCCAAAGCACTTCCTTTCATTTCTCCACCGCACCCACAGGTACCTCAACTTCTGCTTCGGTGAAATTGATCTTCCTTGATCTGCGGTCGTCATCGCTGATGGTGACATGCTGCAACGAGACTGCTTATGCATATGCATGAGATCCACAAGGCACTTTGCATTGACCATTTATGGCAGAAAGTGGCCGTGTTGAGGGCGGGATGTTATTCAGTAACACCTGAGAACATTTCTAGGTAATTTGTGATTTATAAAGCGGAGACTGCGTGAAGCTGTGCATACTCCATGTTTGATAGGTCACAAACCTACTTGGCGTAAGTACATTTCTTTTGCTGAGCTTACGTACGATTTTAGTAAGGATTCAACGCAATGTTTTTAAATGAGACCCCTGCTCCTTCCCCCTTTGACGTGTTGTCCTATGTCCCCTCGTTAAGTATTTATTGAACTCGCCTGCCCCGTATTATCTTACCCACCTGTTTCCCTGATCATCCTCATGTATTTAAAGAGCAAAATGCAGGTTAAAATTTGTTTCTAATTCATATAAAATGTTGTCCAAAAAATCCTATTTGAAATGTTTATTGTGGGTATTTTGTTTTAAAATACATAACAGCAGTTTTTCTAGTAAAAAGTGTCCTTTCTCAGCAAAGCTTCTAAAAACTCTTTTTTCTAAATGTGAACCTCTGACGTAACCAAAGAGAGTTAGAAGCTAGGCGCTTCCTCATCTCAGTGTGGAGAGTGGCTAGTTTTAGGGTAGAGAGATCATGTTATCCAGTCAGTGTGTGTTTACTAGTGTTGGGTTGTGTTCATGTTGATAAACTGTAGTTTGTGAAGGTAGTTCCAACTCCAGCCTGTCTGGACATCGAGTCCACGGGTTTCCAGATAAGAGAAACAACGCCTCTATCTCCGTGCCTGAGGGCGTTTTGTGCAGCTGAAAAGACGTACTTCTGTAGCCCACATCGGTCGGTACCAGGACAGAGAGGTCGGCGCCGGGCTCCAGAGACGTACTTCTGTAGCCCACATGGGTCGGTACCGGGACAGAGAGGTCAGCACTGGGCTCCAGAGACCCATGGTGGGGTTTAAAAATGAAATGCGGATTTCTGGAGCTAAGATCACCATCAGAACAAGGTCAGAATTGACCACCAGAAGAGATGAGCGGCTCAGTGGGCCAGCTGGTTTCTGGGTCGGAACCGGATCAGAAACGCCGCCCGGACAACCAGGAGAGGATCATGTGCAGCTTTTAAAAATACCAACTGGACTGGCTTGCTGGTGTTTGGGTCAGGTCCTGAGCTCCAGAACCGGATGACAGGTGTCTCTCTAAGCTCAACTACGTTAGGTGAACGGATATTAACGAGTATGAGACAGCTGACAGACGCTCCTTAGTATTAATATTATAATATTATTTCTGATCTTTAAAAATGGGCAGATCTCAGATGTGACATGAAATTTTTGTAACAAAGTTGACTTTTTAAAGGAGTTTTTGAATTATGTTGACACAATTGTTAAAACATTTTTGGTACAAATAGCTGTACTGTTTTTTTTTGTTTGTTTTTTTGTTTTTGTTTTTGCTGTAAAGACCTTTAAATAACCTTTGTGTAGGAAATGTGCTATATAAATAAAGCTGTCTTGTCCTGAGGTCTTGAGTAAATTTAAGCGTAGGTAACATTCCACATGTATCTATGATGACCTGAGAAATGTTTACAAGTTTTCTAAGGGAGTGTTTATTTTTTAGGAAAAATTTTATTTTGGGTGTGATCAATAAAATAACATGTTTCTATTTCTCTTGAAAGAAGCTTTGGATTTATGGATATAAAAACAAAGGCATATTATTTGTCATGATGTAGCAGTGGTTGCAGTAGGACCCAAATGCAGGTGAGCAGGAACAGGAGGCAGACTGGCAAGTCAAAGCACTGTTCATAATGGTATAATTTAAAACCTAAATTGGCTTCACTGGAGGACTTGAATGATCGGTTACAGACTTGAAGGCAGAGAGGAAAATTATCTCTGCCTGACCCAAACAAAGTCTTGTTATCCGAATCTGACGCCATGGAAGCCTTGTGATGCCAACAACAAACCACCCCCACGAAGGAATGCAGACAGATGCTGTGAAAACCCGACCTACCCCCCCTGCCTTCGGATTGGTGGACTTCAGCCTGGCGAGGTCATCAACCTACAGGTGTCAATGTGCTCTGCGCTCCTCCCAGATCTCCCTCCCACCTGTGGCTACAGTGGCTGAGCGCCATACAGGGCTGCTCTCACTGGGAAAGCAGG